AAAAAAAAAAAAAGGTTAAAAAAAAAAAAGAAAAGAAAAGAAAAAAAACTTTAAAAAGAGTGATACAACTACGGTCTTCCCCCAAAAATAAAGCAAATAAAGCAAATGCATTGTAAACGAATACAACACATAGGTTACTTTCTATTAGCATACAACGCATGTGTTCTATTCGAACAGCTGTCACATTCGAATACAAAACATATGTGTTCTATTCGAATTGTCGATTTTTTTCCCGAAAACTCGAATGCAACTTTATAGTAACTGTATACAACGCATATGCATTATGTTCGGGGTAAGACGGCAATCCAAATGGAGTGGTGTTCATCGAGGGAATGTCCGCGCCTTGCTCATCAATCGACCAGTTGCAAGGACGGCGTCGACTTCTAATGAAGGAGACAAGTGGGATCCAACCATGGTGCCAAAGAGGGCTTAGTGTCAATAATGATGACGTCATCTTGCGCTGAATGGTTGTGGGAGTAAGGGTAGGATCGTGCTGGTTGGCAATGGCACGCGTACTGTTCAGCAGAGTTCAGAATACGAGGAACAGTCATGTACTTCAAGATCTTTTTCAATCGTTTCAACACTGGACCAAATTTACTGGATTGCCATTGGGTTGATTGGACCCAACATCTTTTCACTACGCTCCATTTGGCTGCCGGTTTGACTTTGCCGGATGCCGAAGTACGCCGGGCCGTTGGTCCCTGGCGACCAACCACTGGAGGCCCTGGGGCATGCCGCAAAAGTTGTGGCGGTTCAACAGGGGCCCTGCTGCAAAGGTTAAACATCGGCAGGGCCCGAAGGAATTGCACATCTTTGAGGGTCAAACCAGGATACCCTGCATCTTTTTTTGTTTCTTTTTTACTATTTTATTCTCTTTGTTTTGTTGACGGGGATCTGAACTGTAGATATTAAACCACCAGTACCTTTCCGCGCTTGAAAAACAAAAGCGCAGAGGTTAACACGGAGGTACAGGCCCGCCGCAAAATGGCTGGTGGCAGCAGGCAGGTACGTCTGTGTGGAAATGAATTTCCGCGACGCGCAGGGCAATTTCGGGCTGCGGTCGATATATGAAAAAGGTACTGGCGGCTTAATTTCAACAGTTCATGCGTGTACCAAGTTACCAACTGAGCTAGGCCAGTCGGCAGGACACACTGCATCTTTGAGCAGCTAAAAAGCAAATTTGCCCTTTTTGCAATTAACCAGGGGTCAACTGGAAAGCTCGTCAGGTCGAAGTACAAGTCAATGTCTCCAATAATCATGAATGTGATCCGAAGTACAATGTCTTGTAACCAAGGGACAAAGCTGATAGGAGGGAGATAAGACTTAAGAGGGTGGAAGAGAGTATCCAGCAAAGTCATCGAAGATAGATCTCCCTCATGTCCCACTCCTCCTTCGGGCATCTCCCCTCTGTCCACGTCAGCAAACAGTATCCCACAGATGAGCCTGGCGAGAACCGATCACAGCATAGTGCCACGTAGGCACAGATCTCCCATGAAGACGTCACAGCGGCGCACAATGTCATCAGCAATAATCAGGTAAGCTTCCCTCTCTCTCTCAACCAATCTCACAGCCCTGATCTCCCCCCTCGTCGATACCCGAATCTGTGTCGAAGACAATGTGGCAACTATACATAAATGCATGAGGTACCCCCCTTTTGGGGTGCCTTTACTATTGGTTATAGTGATTATCTGGAATAGAGAACATTCTATAGTATGGGAGAGGCTCGGTGGGAAGGGCAACTGTAGATCTCTTTCAAAGGCCAGCACTGTAGATTCTAGACTCGGAAAAATGCAACATTTGATTCGTCAATTTAGCTGCAGATGGACTAATGGTTTAAACCACTTGTTGATGGCCCAAAAAATGCCCTCCGGTGTAAGAGTGTGTGAGCAAGAGGAGTATAATCGGAGGTGGTAACTGGTGGTTCAARAAMAAAAMAAAAAMAAAAMAAAAAAAAAAAAAAAAAAACACACAAACTGGGAGTGATTCCAAGAGAGGAAATAAAATGTACCAATAGTACCAAACAATATTGAGGGGCATACTCACTTGAGGACTTTCCTGGATGTATATAACCTCTTTTTCGACAAGGCCTGGATGCACCTGACCGCAATCATGGCATCGACAGAGAAGTTGAAAAAGTCCTAGTGAGACTATGCCCTAAGACAGGGGAGTACTAAAAGATTATGGAAAAGTAAGCTATGTTACGATCCTGGCCAATTTCGAAGTATACATTCATGAGAAAGTACAATGCCATTCAATTGCAAAAAGAAATGAATGAACTTGAGAGGAGAGAGAGGGAAAGAAGAAGAAGAAGAAGAAGAAGTAAGAAAGAAGAAGAAGATGATGTACTCCAGCGTGGGCCAATGACAAGACTCTTCTTCTTCGCCAACCAATCTCCTCCTCCTTATCTCCTCCCCTGTTATTCAAACAAGAACTAGCAATAATAATGTTGAATAGCTGAACCAGAATCAATGTCCCAATCCCACTTCTACTGCAGGCACAACATGAGGTCCACCATAGCCATGCCCACCCTTCCTCTTCCTCTACATGCAGGCCGAGGCTATGGCGGAGCACTGACAGCTCTACCCTCCTGTCCTAAGGACAACCCAAAGCAGCTATGTCGCTACCCTTCTGTCCCAAGGTCAACAGCAGGCAGCTATGCCGCTGCCCACTCAACCGCCATGCCTGACTCTGTCCCGAGCTTCCTTGATGCGGCACTACCCCAACTGGGGCCTTCCAGATGCAGCGCCTGACAAGATGATGAAGATGGTGTCCACCATAGCCAGATAGGTACCTCACCACTCTCCTCCTTGGTTCCCTTCTCCCTCCTCCTCCTACCGGTAGAGCTCCACCATAGCCAAGGTGGAAGCTCCCGGCTTCGTCCTCCCAGCAGCGCTGTAGTACCCAGCGCTGCTCCAGCCAGTGCTCCAGCGGCGTGTCGCCAAAGTTGCACATTGAAGAATGAGGCCGAGCTCTTCCCTCGGCCTCTTGATATAGCGGCCTGCTTTCCTCCTAGGTGGTGACTTCCAGGCCGCTCGGCCTCCCAAGCAACCTGTGCCGCCTCCCTTTCGGAGGGAAACATCATTGCAGGCTCTGATATTGCCCGTACAGGCTCTAGACTCAGACTGGATGGACTGGTACCGGCCTAGACCTAGCCTACCGCTACTGGGCCTCTAAAAATGCCAACTTCGTCTTCTTCTGCTCGGCCTTGAGTACCCGACACATCTACTGCTACTGGGTGCGGTACCGGCCTACCTACTACTTGAGTGTTTTCTGCGATTCCAAGGGCCGCGGGCCTCTGGCTCCACCACTTGAGCGTTTTCCCCTGCTGCAACCCTCAATGCCACGGCCACAGGTAAGTACCGGCCCTACGGGCCTGCCAAACAAGCAAGTACCCTTGCGGGTCACACACACACTCATGCCGACAAGCACTCAGACAGGCACGCAAGTCAACGGGCACGCACACATACAGACTTAGAAAACACAGCAGAATGCGGGAATCTCAGCAAGGCATCCATTCCATTGGCAGAACTTCAGAAATCAGCAGTGTTCTCAGTCTGTGTTCTGGCGGGTCATTACCGCTACATTCTTCTCTCAATTTCACCTCACACTACCTACCTACCACTACGGGGAGTTATCATGGTTCACACACTTGAGAATAAAATCTGGAGTGCCCTGATATGCTTGAAAATCAGTAGCAGTGCTGACTGCTGGTTTGCCTGTCCACTACATTAAACTCTGTTTTTTTGTTTTGCCTGCAGGAAGGAGGGCTTCTCATCATTCAACGACAGCCCGAGCCGAGCTGGCCAAAACAGGGCTCAATCAGGCTAGAGAATCTCAAAGTGCGATATCATGCTGATATGGAGCCTGTGCTGAAAGGAATATCATTTTTGATCGAGGGTGGAGAGAAATGTGGAATTGTTGGACGAACGGGTATGTTACATCACTCTGTCATAGATTTCATTCAGGATTTGATCTCGCAATTAGTCAAGTGAAAATTGAATCACCGGCTTGAAAAGTACGGGGAAATTCTAAAATATATAGTTCTGTACTATTGATGGTATTACCGTATTAGTATATTACTGATCAATCATATCCATATGACTGCAGGCACCCTCCACATCCGGACAGTATATGTCTGTTGTCCAGCCATGGGCGCTGTACCGAATGCATGGGGTTTTGTGGTGCCCGTTCTTCCTTCATGTTGGCCTGCAATCGACATGCCATTTGTTGGGAGTGTTTGGTGGGCATGCTCAATGCCTCCCATCATGGCAATTATTGTACTGAGAATGCTCATCTATTTCTTACGTGTCCTCGTCCATCTCCTCCTTACAATGTATGTCCTCTCTGTCATCTTCCCTTAAACCATCAGTACCTTCCTCAGCTATCGATGCCGAGCCTAAAATCGCCCTGAGCGCTAAAGAAAAACGAACCAGTGCGGGCCTCATTTTGGCTGGCGGCGCCAGCCATTTCGTGTCCAGTTCCGGAACTGTCAAAAGTTGCCCGTGTTAACCGGCGCGTATTTGTTTTTCAAGCCGGGAAAGGTAATGGTGGTTTAATTTCCCTTTGTCCTCCTTTGCTTTGTCTTCTTTCGTGCTCATTTATCTATTGCTCATTTTCCTTGCACAGTAATATACACGCAAGAGAAAAAAAAGAAGATCTGGCTGTCTTCCCATTCGTGTAGCTTCTGCGTTCGTGTTCGTTGTACGGATAGCTTACTGCTTCGCCTTCGTGTTTCCCATCATCGGTTTTACCGTTCATGCTGTGGTCGCTGTGAGGTGGTGCTCACCAGCCATGCTCTCCAAGGGGTGGCATTGTGTGTGTGTGTGTGCGTGTGTGTGTGTGTGTGTGTGTGTGCGTGTGTGTGTGTGTGTGTGTGTGTGCGTGTGTGTGTGTGTGTGTGTGTGTGTGTGCACGCGCGCGCGCGCACGCGAGAGAGAGAGAGAGAGAGAGAGAGAGAGAGAGAGAGAGAGAGAGAGAGAGAGAGAGAGAGAGAGAGAGAGCCATTTCTCCTGAAAAACAGGTCGTGAGCTCAAGTCCTGCAGGGCCGTGCAGGCGTAGATATGACATGTTGATTCTGCCCCCCTGAGTGAACTCCCTGAATCCCCCCCCTTAAATTTCACTCCCTCCCCTAAAACCCCATGGTCAACGGAGTTTATCCCCTTTGCCTTCACAGTAAATGGGGAGCTAAAAGATGAAATGATCTAAAGAATGGTTTCAGTGTGCTCTTCATGTTTTTCTGCATTTTTATTGTTTGTTTCACAAAGTGCACTCTTTTAGTTGTGTGACAATAATATATTTGGGGAGTCTTGGGACCACAATATATATTGGAAGTCTTGGAACCACAATATACTGGGACCACAGTAAGTCATGGAGCCAGCGCTGAAGTGAATATCATTTTGGATCGCAGGTAGAGAGAAATGTGGAATTATTGTATGGACCGGTATGAAAAACGCCCGTTTATTAAACTTTATTTACATCTGTGAGGATTGAGCCCTCAAGAAGGGGCCTTGCCATGGTGTACATGTTCTGGGCTAAGGCCCCAGCAAGCCTCGTGCCCGCCCTAAGTGAAGGCG